ACATGCACAGTCATCCTCTTTTCATTTGGTGTTCATTCTGTATTGTAAAATCTTCTGTCCCAAACTTACCTGTTGGGATGCTCAAACCTGATTACTCCTTTGCTAGGTTGTGGGTGGTTGGTTTGCATTTGATCAAAATACATAAATACAGGTAATCCTCATTTACCAACTGCCTTGTTTAATGATTGTTCACAGTTACTATGGTGATGAATCGCGGCCGGTTCTTGCATTTACAAGACCTTTGCAGGTCTGTAAAGCAAAAGAAAGCTGAAGTAAGATCAGAAGCACAGTCATGGTTTCACTTCGTGATTGCTTTGCTTAACAACCAAGCTGCAGGTCCCAATTGCAGTCACTAAATGAGGACTACATGTAGCTTTTTTTAAAAAATAGTAACCTTGATAACATGGGTCATTTCATTTCATCATGGCTGCCCATTTCACTAGTAAGGTGAACATCCACTCCTACACCCAAATATACATATACACAGCAGAGGTAGGTTTCAGCAGGTTCTGACCAGTTCTGGAGAACCAGTAGTGGAAATTTTGAATAGTTCGGAGAACCGGTAGTAAAAATTCTGACTGGCCCCGCCCCCATCTATTCTCTGACTCCTGAGTCCCAGCTGGTCGGGAGGAAATGGAGATTTTGCAGTAACCTTCCCCTGGATTGGGGACTGAATGGAGATTTTACAGTATCCTTCCCTTGGAGTGGGGTGGGAATGGAGATTTTGCAGTATCCTTCTTATGCCACACCCACCAAGCCATGCCACAACCACAGAACCGGCAGTAAAAAATTTCACTGATACACAGATAGACATTTTTCATCAGAATGTATTTCTGGTGGTTTTACACATTTTCCTCTTCATATCTTCTTCTTTTCATATGAGAGGCCAGACTAATGACAACTACAAAATTTACAGAAATCGATCAGCTTCTAAAATGTGTAGGTCTGCTTATGAGAAGGAGGATAAAATTTCCAAATGGTATCAGATGCTTTGCTTATTGTCTTCTGAAGTACATTAAGGTTCTACATGTGGGCAGCTTTAGGAATTGACTAGCCTGTTGACAGTAGAAGAAACTGATTTCAAATCTGACTAAATCTCACTGTAGCCTTGGAACCAAATTTTAATTTAATTTAATTTAATTTCCAATTTATATACCGCCCTTCTCCCTGAGGACTCAGGGCGGTGTACAGCCAAGATAAAAAACATAGAATACAAATATTAAAACATTTAAAAATATATATAAATTTTGGCCCGAAAGTTAAGAATCACAAACTAATTAAAAGAATCTAAAAATTTCTTCTAAGCCAACCCGGCTTGCTGAAAAAGATAGGTTTTCAGGGAACGACGGAAGGCATTGAGGTCATGGATTCTTCTTATCTCTGGGGGCAGCTGATTCCAGAGGGTAGGTGCCCCCACAGAGAAGGCCCTCCCCCTGGGGGTCACCAGCCTACATTGTTTGGCTGATGGCACCCTGAGGAGGCCCTCTCTGTGGGAGCGCACGGGTCGATGGGAGGTCGTCGGTAGCAGCAGGCGGTCTCGGAGATAGCTAGGCCCTATGCCATGGAGCGCTTTAAAGGTGATAACCAACACCTTGAAGCGCACCCGGAAGACCACCGGGAGCCAGTGCAGCTCGCGCAGGAGCGGTGTTACATGGGAGCGCCATGTTGCTCCCATCACTACCCGCGCTGCTGCATTCTGGACCAGCTGGAGCCTCCGGGTGCTCTTCAAGGGGAGCCCCATGTAGAGAGCGTTGCAGTAGTCAAGGCGAGAGGTGACGAGGGCGTGAGTGACTGTGCACAAGGAATCCCGATCAAGAAAGGGCCGCAACTGGCGAATCAGGCGAACCTGATAAAAGGTCCCCCTGGTAACAGCCGTTAGATGTTCCTCCAAAGACAGCTGCCTATCCAGGAGGACTCCCAGATTGCGAGCCCTTTCAGTGGGGGCCAAAGACTCACCCCCAATAGTCAGCGATGGAGTCAACTGACTATATCGGGATGCCGGGAGCCACAGCCACTCAGTCTTGGAAGGGTTGAGCCTGAGCCTGTTCCTCCCCATCCAGATCCGCACAGCCTCCAGGCACTGGGACATCACTTTAAGGGCATCGTTGGGGTGGCCTGGGGTGGAGATGTACAGCTGGGTGTCATCAGCGTACTGGTGGTATCTCACCCCAAAGCCACAGATGATCTCGCCCAGCGGCTTCACATAAATGTTGAACAGAAGGGGCGAGAGGACCGATCCCTGCGGCACTCCACAAATGAGAGGCCTCGAGGACGACCTCTGCCCCCCTGCCAACACAAACTGCGACCGGTCGGAGAGAAAGGAGGAGAACCACCGCAACACAGTGCCTCCCACCCCCAACTCTTCCAGCTGGTGCAGCATGATACCATGGTCGATGGTATCAAAAGCCGCTGAGAGATCTAATAGGACCAGAACAGAGGAATAACCCCTGTCCCGAGCCCTCCAGAGATCATCCACCAACGCGACCAATGCCGTTTCCGTGCTGTGCCCAGACCTGAAACCCGACTGGAACGGATCTAGATAGGATGTTTCCTCCAGGAATTGCGGAAACTGTTGCGCGACCACACACTCAACAACCTTCGCAATGAAGCGGAGGTTGGAAACAGGACGATAGTTGGCCAATATTGCTGGATCCAGGGACGGCTTCTTGAGGAGAGGCCTCACCACCGCCTCTTTCAGGGCAGCGGGGAAGTGACCCTCACTCAACGAAGCATTAATGACGCCCTGGAGCCAGCCTCGTGTAACCTCCCGGGAAGCCAGTACCAACCAGGAGGGACACGGGTCCAGTAAACATGTGGCCGCACTAAGTCTCCCCAAAATCCTGTCCACATCATCGGGAGTCACAGCATCAAACTCCTCCCAGATAACATTCTCAAGACTGTTCCTCGTCACCCTGCCCTGATCTACCCAGTCAGAGTCCAGATCCCCCCGGATCTGAGCGATTTTGTCATACAGGTATTGTCCGAAATCCTCCGCCCTGCCTTCTAAGGGATCCTCCCGCACTCCCAGATGGAGCAGGGCGCGGGTCACCCTAAACAGGGCGGCCGGACGATTCCCTGATGACGCAATAGAGGCGGAAAAGTAGTTAGACTTTGCCGTCTTTATCGCCACTAGGTAGGCCTTAATATGCGACCTTACCAGTGTTCAATCAGATTCAGCGAGACTGGCCCTCCAACCGCTCTCCAGGCGTCTTTTCCGGCGCTTCATTTCCCTCAGCTCCTCAGTAAACCAAGGAGCCGCACGGGATCGGCATCGAGTCAGAGGCCGCAAAGGCACAACTCGGTCCAAGGCCCCACCAGCCGCCCGATCCCAGGCGGCTCCCAGGTCCTCGGCCGAGTCATGTGCTAGATCCTCAGGAAATGGCCCAAGCTCCGTCTGGAACCTATCAGGATCCATCAGGCGCCTGGGGCGGATCCATCTAATTGGGTCCGCCTCCCTGCGGCGAGGGGTCGCAGTTCGAAGATCTAGGCGAAGGAGTGAGTGGTCAGTCCATGACAAGGGTTCCATGTCTATATCCCCTATAACAAGGCCACTCAACCACTGGCCAGAGACAAAAATCAGATCCAGAGTGTGACCTCCCCTGTGAGTAGGGCCATGAACTAACTGGGTCAGGTCCATGGCCGTCATGGAAGCCATGAACTCCCGAGCCACCTCAGACGTTTCACCAACGGATGGCAAGTTGAAATCACCCATGACTAAAAGCCTGGGTGTATCTACTGCCACCGTGGCTATCACGTCGAGTAGCTCAGGTAGGGCTGTTGCCACGCGGCAGGGAGCCAGGTACATAAGCAACAAGCCCATCTGAACCCCACGGCCCCACCTCACAAGGAGGGACTCACATCTGGCTATCTGAGGCACAGTGGTCTCCCTCGGACCCAGATCCTCGTTAATAATAACCGCCACCCCCCGCCCCTCCCCTGGGCCCTCGGCTGATGGAATGCTCTGAAGCCTGGTGGGCACATTTCAACCAGAGGGACGCCACCCTCCGGGCCCAACCAGGTCTCCGTAACACCCGCCAGGTCCGCTCCTCCCTCTTGTATAAGATCGTGAATGAGGGGGGCCTTATTGACCACGGACCTGGCATTGCACAGCATCAGCCGAAGGCCCAGCTCCTGAGTATCTAAGCCACCTAGTATCCGAGCAGAGCCTTGGGGACCGGGGCAAGCAATTGCTCTCAGACAGCAAGTGCGAGCCCCCAACACCTGATGTGGTCCCCTGCTCCCGCCATATCTGCCCCTCCCATTCACCGTGCCGATGGTACAGCCCTCATAGGTATCGTCCCCCATCCCTTTCCCAATCCCTCGTCCAGTGCCCCCCGGATCGTTACCCTGTGCCGGGCACGGCTCTGACCCTGGTGGATTTCCCCCCCCATCCGCCATAGTTGTCTTCCCAATATCTTTAAAAGAATAATTACACCCCCCCCCAGAACCCCTTAAAATCTTTAAAAATTTCCCTAAAAAACCCCATAAATTCTTCCTTGCTCCATGCCATCTCTCCGGACTCCAAAGTCCGTCATCGAGATAGGCCCTCGATAATGTGGGGGGCCAAACCTGCGAGAGGGGAGAATCTCGCAGGACAAGGAGTTCCGACACTGAATACATATAGCCATCAGGGGAAACAGTCCAAGGGTGGGGGACCGTTGATGTTATAAGCGTAGGGAAAGTTCCAGTCCATGGTCAGGCTGCCAAGCTCCACTGTCCTCTCACGACAGTGGCTAAGGAGGTGCATATCATTCGACCGACCCCGAAAGTTTCCAGGGCGGCCGCCTCTCACCAGGCCAATCCAAATGATTGGACAACATTCAAGAAAAGCTATAAAGATCCAGTACTCAGAATTGCATCCCTCTACAAGTTTACAAACTCTAGGAAACATTCAAGAGAACATTAAAATAAATGAATCAAGTATCCACACTAAACACAGCAAAAGAAAATAAGCCTGGACATCTGACATTAATCAGTTAATAATTTTGAACGCTGCCACATTAAGATGCATTGCATTGCAGTTTTAATTCAAAGTGTTTGTAACAAATTAGCTTTTTTTTTAAAAAAAATTCTGGCTGATTATTGGGTCCTTCAACATAGATTAAGCAAACGAGACCCAGGGAAGATATAAAGATCATTAAATTAGAAGGGCAGGTGATGGCCGACAGCAGTATTTCTCACTCCCAACAACTTTAAGACTTCTGGACTTCAGTTCCCAGAATTCTGGGAGTTGAAGTCCACACTTTTAAATTTGTCAAGGTTGAGAAACACAGATCTAGAGGTTTGGAAGAGATACTGCGGAGCCACTCAGGTGATGGATGAGATCGAAGGATGTGTAGGTGAAAAGGAAAATGAGCAATCCTACAGGAAACGTGGAGCAATAAATTTCTCTACTACCATGAAAGAAAGAAAGTGTAATTTTTCCACTGTGGGGAGTCCTAAGATTGCGATTTCCCACAGTGTAACAATTATTTCCTCCCTCCCCCTCTCTTTCTTCATGCTTACTAGAGAAAATATATATCAGGCCTACTAATTACTTTTACTGGCACCACGAATACAGTATGTTCCTGGGTGAACAACCCCTCTCCTAAATTCTGCAACTTATCTGATTTATGTTTCCTCACCTTCTTTAAATTACTGGAATAGGAGAAAAAAAATGGTGAAGGAGTAATTTATGGGGGAAGCATTAGCTAACAGTAAATAAACAAGCCAGCATAAGGCTCTGCTGTAATGTATGATGCCTGGGAACCGTGGCGACAGAGGAAGAATTGTTGCTGCCAATTGGTGGAGATTCTCACTGCAGGTAGATGGTTCCTGCTGTCAGCCACTGTCTTCAAAGCTGCCACTGTTGCTGCAGGAAGGAAATCGCAGCGTACTCATGGGATCCGACACATAACCTGTGGAAAAAAAAAAGAAAAAAAGAAGCTCAGGTGCTCATTGCAAATGCTGTTCAGCCTAGCTACCGCACCTTGTCTCTCTTCTTCCCAGGTTCATCAAGCCTCTGTATGCAGAAAGAAAGCACAGAGGGCTTCCCTGGTAACAGAAATGCACAGATTTGATGCCAAATAAAAAGATCTGCTTCGGCTGCATCTTTTATGACCCGAAGTAACCACATTCAAAGTCATTTCTTTTCAGGAGAATGACAGAGGTGGGATCTGACAGGCAGGCAGGATGCCATTCGTATTCACAATCACGCTAGCCATTTAAGATGATGGGCGATAGGAAAGTGGGAAATGTTAACACCGTCTCACACTTCTGTTTGATTTTGAAATATACATATCTTGACCCTGAAGGGAAGATTCTACAGTCAACAATAAGCTGTCTGCCAGATATAATTGTGTCCTTAATCCTGGATTATTACTGTTACAATAGCTTATATTATAAGTACCTGTTTGCTTATTAGAGTATTTATCATCTGGGCCATTGGTTAAATATCACTGCTTCAATTATTCCTTTTGTGGAATATATGACAGTTTAGCCTAGTCACCAAATCTCTGAACTAAGACCATAATGGGTGAAGACCACTTATAACATAAACAAGATTCTCTCTCTCTCTCTCTCTCTCTCTGTGTGTGTGTGTGTGTGTGTCTCTCTCTCTCTCTCTCTCTCTCTCTCTCTGTGTGTGTGTGTGTGTGTGTGTGTGTGTGTGTGAGGGGGGGGGGGGAAAGGAAGCCCAGTAACCAACAAAAAAACAAAACAAAACAAAAAACAATCCTGTCTAATTGCAAAAGGCAAGATCCCAATTCTTGCTGATTTGACAAAGTAAGCGATTTCTCTCACTGCATCCAAATGATGTGCTGAGAGAGGCCACTCCATTTCTTCTGGCTCCTTTTGTCTAAAGTACTGGTGGAAGGGTCTTTTTTTGTATATGAACCCAGCATGCAAAGACCATCAAGTAAGTCTGCCATAAGCTCCATATTCAAGGAAAATTTGAGAAAATGTAGTAGTTAAGTATTAAAAGTGCTATATTCCTTTCTTGCCTAACCTTAATACCAGAAAAAATCATTAGTTTTAATTCCTGAGGACGGTGCCTTACTTTAGATGGCACCTTTGACAACTAGCAGTGCTGTGTCAAGCTTCTGGTAAATCCTGGACATTAGTCTGCAAAGCGACCTGAAAGGTGTACAGGCCTACCTCTTTAGCGACTGCCTCAGACAGTGACTATTCACAATTATGGCTGGAGAAAAAGCAGCTTTATTTAGCATAACAAGTCATCAGTTGAAACTGATCAAGGTCTAGTCAGTTGTAGGCAGCAGCTGCCTGCTGGGCAGAAGGTTCTAATCAACTAATTAAGGTCACAGAGCTGAGCTTGCAGTTAGCACTTTTTAGGTAAGTACTGCACTGCAGAGAAAAAAAGCAGGTCAGGAGGAGATTGCTTATTAAAGGAATCTGGTCTGCAAAGAGGAAAAAAAAGGTGGGGGGAACAGATGAGGCACAGGACATTGTAGGAAAGAACTTTAGATGAACGAGATGGCAGTAACCAATGGTCTTTGCAGCCAACCCCCCCTCCTCACTCTCTGTCACAGGGTTCACTTAGTGACAGTGTAATTTACCAACCATTTCACAGAAACCAATTCAAGCAGAAAATGAGCATGACCTGTACTTAGTTTGACTTCAATTAAAGTTAAGCCACTTGAAGGTCTTGCACAGCTCAAGGAGCAGCATCTGAGCTGTGGTGGCACAGTGGTTAGAATACAGTATTGCGGGCTAATTTACCTCACTGCCAGGAGTTCGATCCTCACCGGCTGAAGGTTGATCAGCCTTCCATCTTTCCAAGGTGGGTAAAATGAGGACCCCAATTGTTGGGGACAATATGCTGACTCTGTAAACCACTTATAGGTGGCTGTAAAACACTATAAAGCTGTATAGAAGTCTAAGTGCTATTGCTATTATTATCTCCTATTACCAAGGTTGCTGATTTCTTATTTCTGGGTTATTCTAAGTTTGGAGGATCAATTGCATTCCAAAGAAAACATCATCAGTCCATTAATACAGTTTATTATAGTTGAAGAGGACTCGTATTTTACCATTTTGGTCAATAGGTGGGCATTGAAAATTTCTTCTCATCTCTTCCAAAGAAAGGCCTTGAGAAGAGTGCTGACCAGCGCTGTAAATTGTAGAAAAGAGAAATGGTGAAGAAGAGTACCTTTTAAAGTTTGTTTCAAAACCAGTATGATATAAAAATAAACTACTGCCATTCAAAATATGGAGATGCCTTTTACAATGTAAGAGCTGCATTGTAATAGTAGAAGGAGGACGAGGACGATGAGGAGGAGAATATGGTTATACAGAGAAACATTTCTGGAATAGCTTGACTAGGTGGCTCAGTGACACTGAGCTTGTCAATCAGAAATGTTGGCAGTTCAGCGGTTCGAATCCCTAGTACAGGTCTCCTTTGTGACCAGGGGGTTGGGCTATATAACCTCCAAGGTCACTTCCAACACTGTTACTGTTACTGTTACTAATAGCTTGTTTCTGATCTTGAGCTTTGCCCCAACGTCTGGACTACTTTCAGTGTTATTAGCAATCTGAGGTGATCGGTCCAGCACACTATAAATATTTTATTTACATCTGTACTATCAGGTTTGTGCATGCTAATTTCTTTGCTAAACAGAGCATTACCCTTTTGAAGCAAATCCCAATATTATTCACCGTAAACACATTCCTTTATCCTTGGAAGTGATCAGACAGAGCCAGCCTTTGCCAGCTGTTCTCAGTTGATGGGCAACTATCATTGTCAAGTATTCCCTCTGAATGGAAAAAGAAGCTGCCCAACTGCCCATTAATAGCCAGGTAATTTGTAGAGCACACCTGTGCTATCCCAAAGTAAGGAATTATTTGAAGTAATTTCAAAGAGCAGCATCTTCAAAGAACCTTTGGTGAAGTTGTGGCTGAAAGAACAAATTCAAGATTATTTCCGGCAATGCATTATCCAGGGTGATTTTGATCACAATAATTTCAAACTGATGGCAGGTAAGAATTTCGTAACTTCAATGGCTGGCTTCACACTATTGGATAAATAACTTAAATGTTTATTCTAAAGATATCTTTCTGGAAATAAATCCCATTGAAACAGAAGGGACTTAACAAATAAACTGTAGCTACCTGTAGGAACCTTTACGGGCTATTTTTTATAAGATTCATATTGCTCTTTTTCTTCTTGCTAAAATGTGCCTGCTTTCCATTTAAATGAATATATAAGGTAGCTTAATAATAGAGCTCTGCTTAATAGTGGGCTCTATTTAAGTCTCATCAAAACAGACTGCTTTGCAACTCAGTTTGCGTTGCCTTGGGTATTAGTATTTCCATCCGTTTGTCTCAATACAATTTGTCTCTTACATATTATCTATCTGTCCCTCCATCCATCCTTGCTTTTCCGATAATAATGCCAATGCTGACAAATAAGGAATTAATAATTGTTTACTCTCATACTATATTTAATTAGGCTCAGATACCAAGCCTAAACTTGTTGCTTAGAAAGAATTCTGTGGATCCTGTGGAAATATTGGAAAACTTTTGGTAAATGTTTTTGAGAGTGCTAAAAACTATTGGCTCCACTGCAAAGGGACTGCTCTTTGTTTTCTTGTTGAAACTAAAATATAAAGCTACCTTGAGCTCAGTAGGTCATATAGTTTTAGTTCTCAGTGATTTTTTTTTTTTTGGCTTATATGGGTGGGTTTTAAGTTTATTATATTGAGCATATATGAACTTATTTGAACATGTTTTTTTTTTGTTTACCATCTGGTATTTTAGAATGAAATATGGACTAAATCACTTTTAATACTTTAATATGCAAATAATATATGAAACTAGCATAATATGAAAACCAGTTAATAATATTTGCTAATAAATATTCAAACATTTCAAAGCAAAGACTATTCTGAAACAAGTAATTCTTCTTAATAGCACCATTGTCTAGATTAGCCACACTGTTTCAATATCAATCTTTATTATTCTAAAATCAAATATGCATGCAATGGAATATGACTCATCAGTTGAAGCCCATCCATAAACTGCATGTCCTGCACCGCTACTCTGTGGGTAGTAGAAGAATGAATTCATGTCATTAGCGTTGCCAGGTCTTTACTGAATTGAAATGGTTTGTTCATTTATTTACTTAATTCAATCCATTTATTCTTTCTTGCTATTAGAGAAGCCATACTTTGTCTATGTCACTAATCCGACTTCACATTTACCTAAATTAAAACTAATGTGTGGTTACGAAAGTGTGCCCAGGCAACAGAATCTAATGAGCGTCAAGGTCAAATGCAGAACTCAGAATCACTAATATTATTTAAAATAGCTCTCACAGAGTTGACATTGCCTCGGACTCTACCAACACACTTTCCACAACTTTCAGAGAAGGCTACTTCTTGGTGGAGAGATATTATTTGGTAACATTATTTGGAGCCATCAGCTTAGAATGTTTATCAAAAGAGAAGATAAGATGTAGCTTCAGACAAATGGCCCAGGTTAGTTACTCAGTTTATAGATGTAGCAATTCATCTATGGCAGGGGTGTCAAAATCAAGGCCCGTAGGCCAGTTCTGGCCCATGGGGTGCTTAGATCTGGCCCACGGGGCCACCCTGGAAACAGCGAAGGACTGGCCTGCGGTGCCTCTGCCTTCACTGGCAGAGAGTTGCAGGATGCCGTCCCAGCCGAAAATGGAGCTCGGGAGCCCATTGTTGCTGGTAAAGCACTAAGGCCACCACAGGTGCTTCCCTGACATGAGTGATGTCAAGCTGGCCACACCCACCCTGGCCACACCCACCTTGCCCCCCCCCCCCCGAGATCAAACACAACTCTGATGCGGCCCTCAGTGAATTTGAGTTTGACACCCCTGATCTATGCTATGGTATTCTGGAGTATACTTTCGTGTTCTCTAAACTTGGTTGTTGTTCTTTTGCAGATATTTCGTTACCATCAGATAATATCAACAGATAGGTAACATCATCAGATAGGTAAAGATGGTAACCAAAACTGCTAATCAAACATTCAATGCACACATATTTGGACAAGTAAACAAGTTTGTATCTTAGCATTTCTAAAATACATCACGAACAAATCACAATCCCAATGCGATTGCTCTCTGCCAGATATTTCAGTCTTAAGAGGGCAAGTATGTTCTCAGAGAGATGCAACTTCATCAAGGTAGTTTAGTTAAATTACTAGGAATGTTACTGACGGAAATGCAAATAATTTGTTCAGAACATGTTCAATAACAGAAGGTGGAAGATTGGAATGAGTTCAGAACTAAGAAGGTGATGCTAGCTTCTTTTGAAATGAGACTTCTGGACGTATTCCATTTAATTAGGCTAAATAAATAAATTGGAATGTATTGATTTGGGATCCTGCTGATATTGTCAGAGCATTTTGTAACAAGAGCCAATTCATATTTCAGAAGTGGGAAAAAAACAAGTATGAAATAAAATCATCACTGCCTTGGTGTTTCTACTTTATTTACCAAAGGTGGATTCCAGTTGGTAAACACCTGAACAGAATTTGTCATCTCCAGATTCTGGAAGCCGAGCATTTCTCCTTTATCAAGTAGACCCTCCCTTCAACTTTTCCTAGGTTACTTCTATCCCATTTAAATTATTTTTCTGCAGAACTATTAAAATGGTGCCTTAGTTTCCAATAAGACAAGCCATAAAACCATGTAATTAGTTATCAATCTTTTTAATCAAAACCAATGAAACCCTTCATAGCAAAGCCTCAATAAATCTGAAATAGCTTTATAAAAATATTTCTTTTAAGACTTACAATCAGAATTACTGTAGGCTTCTTCATTCAAAAGTTATCAAATTTTATTGTCAATCATACTGAAAAAAAAATCTACAGAGGCATATTACTAGATGCTGATTGTTGCCTTTCAAACATGTTTTCCTATGAAAAGCTTTACAATTACAACTGCTATAAAAACCTTCTATATCATGGTGGATGGATGACATAAAGAAGGACAGATGTAGCTGCTCTAAGAATATTGAAGACGGGGCTTTTTAAATAATCATTTCTCCAGAAAACATACTAACAGTCATATGACATTTATTTAATTAAAAAGAAATTAATCACATATATAGTATTTATAATGTTTCTTCTCTCTGTCATATAAAGTAACCACAGAAACCCATGTAAGAATTGCATATTTTGAAAAAAAAGAATGCATCACCATCTGTCAGGCATAAAAGGCCAGTTCACGTGCAAAGGTTCAATTTAACTGATTTATTGCTAAAAGCCTATGCACAGGAATCTTCTCAACTAATGATCAGTATCCGGTTAGAGTTAGATAAGGGTCAGTGTCAATCGGGGTAGGGGTGGGGGGATGGACTTAGTTCCTTTTTGGTTATGTAAGGATTCTAAACTGAATCCTCTTTTTAGTTCACCCCCTGGCTTTGCCATTCCTCCTCCTGCACGTGGGTGTCAAACTTGCAGCATCACGTTGCCATCGTGATGTATCGTGACAATTTTTCCCTTCGCGGAGCTGGGGTGAGCGTGGCTTGTGTGTAATGCATCTGGCCTGTGGGCTGCCAGTTTGACACCCCGTCCTACAATGTCTGAAGACTTGTGTAGTAGCTCATAGAAAATAAGACCATCAGAAAGTCACTGTAGATCAGCGTTTCCCAAATTGGCAGCCTCCAAAAGGCCGTCCAGATGTGACAGTAGGTTTTGAAATTCTTAAGATGGGCCAAAATGAGTTCTTCCAAGCTCAATGTGCTAAAACATTTTTCCAAACATCTTTATGAAAAAGAAGTTGGTCAAAATTATTTCAAAGAAGAACAGAACTTTAAAGGATTTTGATGAAATCATCATAGCTGATATTCAGGCCTTTAGGTAGTTATGAAATGCCAAGAGGTAAAAAAATACATGTTCTGACTTTCAATATACTTCCATCTCTCCACCAGTCTGTAGCTCTCTGCTTTCCCATGTTTAATTAACACCCTCACCCCAAAAATACTCTACACAAATTTCCATTAATATGTATCAGGGGTGGGTTCTTACCTTTATACCGGTTTGCATTGTGCATCGCTTCGCTTCGCTCGCGCACACGCACACTCTTCTGCGCATGCTCAGATCACCTATGATGATGTCCTGGTCAGTGGGCGGAGC